TGCTTCCAAATCTACGACCATGGTCACCAGTGAATCAATTCACTAATGGCCAACGACTGCCATCTAGCGGCGAGCTTTGCTGCAAATTATAACTACATTTTACGTGACATTTTTGCTGCAAACTACGTACTTACGACAATATAGAATTGAATTTTAAGCGAGTGAATTGGCTCTAACGTTAATAAAATGGTTTAAATGCAACACATTTCCTATCTATATCATTAAAATGTCTAGTCAAATACTTCAAACATTGAACTACTGATGTCTAAAAACGAACTCAATGGAAAACTACTCTGAATTCGATTAACAACATACGAATGGTAACAAGACAGTTTCACGTTAACGTAGTGCATCATTGCAATAGCAGTCCTGGCTTCAACGATTTTATGCACTCACGCCTCCCGTCAGCTTGATGATGTGTCTATGTCTTCACAAATATTCATTTTACATGATATGCTGGCTCATTGCCGGCGTGTGCTGATCCGTGGGTGTGGCAGTGTTACGCAGCTTCTCAGCAGAAGTGAGTTTGAAGTCCTGGTTCTTGGTTCCTTAATCCTTGTTCCGGTTCCTTCCTGGTTCCGTGTTCTGTAACAACAGTAAAGACAAAAGTGAAATGATTAAGTGCGAGATTATTAATATGTAAGTATAGGTGATTAAGTTAATGAGCAACCTGTTAGGAGGCATTATAACGAATCATATCAGTCAACTCATTTATGGATATTTCATATAATATACATTTCTATTAGGACTGTCATCGATACCAACGCCGTCGATGTATCGTGATGGATTTGCATGCGATATTGATATTGAAAAAAATTCCAGAATAGCGATCCGATACAGTAAAATAGTATTAGTAAAAAACCGTTTTGCTCTAGTGTTGTTACCTTACACCTCATAGGTTATTCTGCTGAAATATGAGCGGGTATTCTCTACTGCAGGCGGTGTTTTTAACCGAGGGAAGGAGAGTTTGGTGCCTGACAATGCCAACATATTAGTTTTTATTTACACTATAACTATACAAAGTATAGAAGCATAGCGCTGCTTCGGAGGAGACATATTGTGACCTAACTTCCTAAGATGGACTACCGACTAGTGGTGCTGTATCTTTAGTTTATGGATGAGCTAGCTTTACTGAGCTTCCTGGTGGATTTAATAGACGTGGAGTCATTCTGTCACATTCTGTTCGTTCTATTTCATTTTATTCACGTTGCAATATAAATATATAGGTTTAAATTAACTCTTTAGGTGTATTCTTTCTTTTTAGTTGCTTAAACTAGGCGTTGCATTCCTAGCAGAGAAACATTAGTCCCATGCAATGTAGCGTCAAGTGTACTAATTTAAGTTCAAAATTACAGCAAAGGCTACCACCATACATCCCAAAAAGGAATTTGAAACATTATATTTATATTATACGAATTGGATAGAATCGAATCAAAATATTGGAAAACACTATTTTGATAATCGAATCGAAATATTTTCATATCAATGACAGCTCTAACCTTTTATGTCCAATCTCAACTATAACAGCCCAGACAGACCAAAATTAATTTATTAAAACCATAAAATGGAAAATTTTGATAATGGCAAACAACTACCTTACTCCCTTTCTCCCTCTCCATCCACTCTGTCTCTCTTTCTCTCTCTCTCTCTCTCTCTCTCTCTCTTCTCTCTCTTTCTCTGTCTCTCTCTCTCTCGACACACACGCACATGCATGAATGCACGTATGCATACATGCACACATATATGTATGCACCCCCTATTCCTCACCCTCTATCAAACACTCTCACTATATGCTGCTCTTTACTCTAATACATGCCCACAAGACACGCTCTTCTCTAAGACACGGACAGAAACTACTCACTGTGTATTGCTGGTTTAAATGATAAGCATGCATGGTGTTTGAATGGAGGAAAAGACATCTTGCTCCAATCCCAGCCTTATGACTCAACACTCTGGCACCAATTATCCCTCTTCCATCTGAAAACACATACCTTCAAAGTGACAGAACATGTATAGTTGGTTAAAATTAGTTAAAATTGTTAAGTTTGGTTCTGTCAACCAGATAATGTCTTATATTGATCACTGAATTTGACACAAGCACGTTTATATCTATATATTGCAATTGACTGAATTAGATTTGCTTGTGCTGTAATGACTAAAAAACAACAAGTTACCTATGATCAGACATTCCTCTTTTGCTTCCTCTTCATTGTTGAAGTCATCATCTTGGTCGTTGCCCACATCGTCATCATAGTCTATTTCTTCTTCTTCTTCTTCTTCTTCTTCGTCGTCGTCGTCCTCGTCGTCAGCGGCGTTTCCTTAGAACTTCATTTTCATTTTTTTCTTCTTCTTCTTCTTCTTCTTCTTCATCTTCCTTGGGTCTCTAGCAGATATTTAGCTGGAGAAAGACATTTACCTTCTTTGATGTGGATTATCTTGTAGAGCAGCACTCCTTTAGCTATGTGTCTCCTTCCCTCCAATTTTGTTATGTTCAATGCTGTGTTCAGTCCATCTCCACTATATTAGACATCTTCACCGTAACCCTGGCACGGGAGGCTAAACAGGTGCTATGCCTTGCCTAAGGACAACCTGTAGCTAGGGGCGGCAAAGGAAGCTTATCTCCTCACTAGTGACAAAGTCACTCCCTTCTCCAAGCAAACCTTCCATAAAATGCCTTGCTCATGGGCACAACAGAAGTGATCAAGGTGGGACTCCAAACTCCAGACTGTTCAGCCTGAAGTCCTGAGCGCCACAAACTTGGCCTGCTCTTTCCAGGTGGTTCTTGCACGGTAATGACGCTGTCTCCATAAGTAGTTAACGTCTCGTAGGCGCCAAAGTCCCTGGCGAGCAAAACTCGAACTAAACCGCGCAACCGAATTTTCCGCGCGGTTAACAACATATAGACACAAACACCTGAGTACATTGTTGGTACATTATCGGTGAGGAGAGCCCTGCGCGCGCCCGGCTGCGACATGCGTACGTTTGCGCATGTGGCCGGGGATAATTGCGCGTGCCGGAACGAAGCCGACTCGCGGAGCCGAGCAACAGCCCACACGAGTCGCGTGAGTGCGACGCCACGGGAGCGACCAACTCTACCCAAATTTAGTCCCAAAATATGGCAGCACGTATAAGATTGTAGCTAGGTACATATATAACCGTTATATATCACACACGTATTTATATATATCCGTACACTGTATATACCCTTGTAGCTAGGACATGAATATTGTAATTGCGGGGAGTACAGTTGCGCGCTACGCACGCCCTATGTATCGCGCCCGCCCTAGCATCGATGACGTCATTCAACCTATGCGATTGTGCCAGGGTAAACCTGCGAGCCGGACACCCCAACCCTAACTCCCATGCTCTTGGGAGGGGGGAGGTGTGATTTCCCATGCTCTGACCAGCTAAGGTGTTGTCTCACCCCCCTGGCACACGCAAACGTAAACCCATCCTGACACACCCTCTGAACTTGATTCCTAAAGGGAGGAAGTCCGCGATGGTGACTGTCGTCGGAGGCCACGCGCTGGTGATTGACACGATGCTGCTAGCCCTATATTGAATGCTTAATTTAGGGGCGGCGCCCGTATCCAAGGCTATTATCTACCTATGGTTATATATGCTGCTGGCCATACTGTAGTAAGAGTCCAGTGCATCACTACACCTGTGCACGTACTCCTACCCGAATCCTGCTACATATACGTGTACCGAAGAGGCGGTATATGGAGTGAGGGCTGCGACAGATGGCGTATACCCGGGGGTACAAATCCGCACGTCCAGCGGCTGTGCAAAGCGTAAGTTTGCACGTACGGCCTAGGAGAAGATGTAGGTGTGATGCAGCAGCACTGGTATGGCCGCATTGGCTATACAGGCTTCCTTCTGTTTGGGACACTTGGCATTACTTTGCTGGAGAAAGATGCTGCTGTTAGGGGCTTCTTGGTTATTCATTATCTTCTATATATAGCAGTACTTCTTTGACTGTGTCTCTCCTTCCCACCAGTGTTGTATTTATTATGCGTATTCCGGTGTTGAATAACGTTAACACCAATATCAGCTTAGCTCCGACTGCAACGAACAAGTCCCAGCACACCCCACTACTGTGTGCCCATCTCTGCTGTCAATCGTTGTACCAAGATGTCTCTCCAGTTGTATTCCTTGTACTAGCACCCGTCACATGTGAGATTGTCTGTACATGGCGCAGCCTGTAAATCACAGAAGTGGATTAGTAAAGAGCGTAGCTTATCGTCCTGACTTACACATGCCGCTTCCCGTTATCGCTGCTTCTCTCTTGCAGTCTCACTTTTTTCTCCTTCATGCCCTACCTCCCTGTTCTCTATTTCCTTTTTTTCTCTGTATCAATCTCTGCCATCTCTCTTTCATCTACTTTCTCATGCTCCCTCTCCCCCTGTATTTCTGCCTTCTGCTTCTCTTTCTCTCTCTCCCCCTCTCTCTCTTTTGCTCTCCCTCTCTCTCTCGCTCTCTGTTTTTTTTTCTCTCTTTCTCTCTCTCTCTCTATCTCTCTCTCTCTCTCTCTCACTCTCTCTCTCGTGCTCTCGTGTTTCTCTTGTGCTTTCTCTTCTCTCTCAACTTTATGTGTCTACACATAATGTGTGTACTTGTTGGTCGATAAAAAAGTGTCAGCTCTTATTTTACATAACTTAACGCTAATCTGCTATGATAAGGGTTGTGGGTATACGATAGTATAAAAATGTAGTAAGTTTGCAGTTATCTTTACCCATGCAGCCCTTCACCCAGCCACAGACTGTTCAAAAACTGGGCACATCCTGTGGCAGAGTGAAGGGCTTTACGGGTAAAGCTAGTTTGTAGTAACATAATAGGGCTCATCTTATCTTAGGCCAAAAAAAAAAATACCTGTGTTTCCGGTTTCCCGACCCTACCTAGTTTTTACACCCGACCCTACAACTTTTTATCCATATTTTTCAAAATAAAATTGAAAAAAAAAAAAAAAACTGAAAATCCGATAGAAATTGAGTAAGTTGATCAACCCATACGCACGCTGATGGCCCCGATAGCGTTTATAGCGCATGGGAGACAACTCGCGCAAGCCACGTGAAATACCGCCGTGTCACGCGAGATCGTCGCACGTGTAAACAAGACAATAATGGCGATTACAAAAAAAAAGATTTGGAAAAAAAAAAAGTTAAAGCCTACCTACCCTACCTATTTTTTTTCAGCATGAAATCGGAAACACAGGTATTTTTTTGTTTGGCCTTAACACAGTCAATATAACTTCACTGTTCAGACACACTGCGGGTTAAGAAAAGTATCATCTTGAATTTCCATGTGTCACCAGGGTTCAGTGATGCCCACGCTTCAAACCCTAGCACACAGGTCACCAGCAGCTGAATAACCAGCATCGTAGTAACTAATACTGTTATTGTTTTGTTTTATTTGTATTGTGTAGTGAGTACCTACATTTTTATTTATAGCATTAATGAGCAAATAGCTAGCCTACATTACTGTTTTACCTGAAGGATATCACGCTAGAATTTAGCAACATTCTACAAATTTGAAATCGAGAATGCACGCGTGAAACATGACATTGACAAAACCACTTCGGACATCTTTCACGATCTGCATTATAGTCTGTTCAACAGCTACTACGCGATGCCGCACACTACAACATTTTTCGGACAAGCAAGAGTCAGTGAAACAGTCTTATCCTTATTACTTTGTAGCGATATGTTCTTTTAGATATGTTTTAGCGATGGATCGTGCAACTCTGCAGAACAGGCGGGGCGTATCAACTGATTTTGTTTATCATTACGTGGAGGTTTGACACAACGGTTTTGGGCGACGTCGGAAAATGTCGTGACTAGACTGTGTTTCTAATAAAGTACCTATATAGAGCTCCGAAGTGATGGCGTCACGGTGGCATGACAACGAACCCACTGGTTCTAAACAATCATTGGCCCCGTAACATTAACTGCGTGAAAATGGTGCCGTGTTTTGTACCCGATTCTAACCATTATTCTGAGTCATCAGCTTTTATAGATTTCCAAAGGATGGAAGTGAAAACCAACGATGGATTAAGTTGATAAGGTATGCAGATGTTTTTTTCTAGGCATTTTGATGATGAAATCAATCGACTTGCTACTAGGGCTGTAACGATACACATACCTCTCGATTCGATCCGTATCTCGATATTAGCCTTTCGATTCGATTCCCAAAATATTGAAATGTTATCTTATTTTGTATATTTTCATAATTTTGCAATAAAAACCATTTTAAGCAACTATTACAATTATATATCTTGCTAGAAGTTAGTTGACAACACCCTCAAGAAGACCTCTGTAAATTTTTAAGACTGTACCCCCTCAGGGGGAAACTCACGACATGGGGGTGTAAACGCTACTCTGACCGTAGCCTGTGAACCGCTATACTCACCATAATAAGACCATTGCCATTGGCATTGCTTGACCAAGTGCCATGCCTTATGTGAAGAATCACGTCAAAGATACTAGCAATGTCTCGTACACGCGTTTATTTTAGTCGAACACTGTGATGTAGTGTCAACAGCGGTAAACTGAAAGTATACAAAAAAGCTATCTTAAGTAAACTCTAACTCGAGTACGCATAAATACTGAGTAATTAAATAACCATTTAATGACTAAGTTCTTAGTTAAAAATCCTATTACTGTGCTTTAGGTTATACTCCAGCCGCTGCTGCCACCAACGGGAGATTTGAGAACTAAAGTAATGACGAATTTACATTAACTTTCTGACAGAAAAATTGGCATGAATGGTAGCCTAAAGATACCACAAGGCACCAAAAATTATCGTTTACAATGTACATGTATTTAAGCCATGAGGAACTACCTCACATGGGCCATACCAGCTAAATTATTAAATAAGGACAGAATCCTGCCAACCTCGCGACACTTATGGTGGCATACAAAGGAAACTGATCGGCGTTGCCTGCCTCACATTCAAAGCTTCTAAACACACATAAACCAATATAAATCTGAAAAACTTACAGAACATTGTCTCCACTAGTGATTCCCACAGAAGAGTAACCTCGGTCGGAGATTGAACTCACAAAAATAAACTAGACTTCGTGTAAAGGGTGGACGAACGTCGAGCGATGTTTTCACCCCATCGAAGTGGCGAAGCGCGCCGTTATCTCATTCCACGAATGCCAATTGAAATTGAAAACGCAACTGCAAGTGCCGCTATCGAATCGGCACAACTCGGGAAAGGCTCGTAAACCCCCGCCCCCGAGACAACTGCTCCGAATTACACAATCTTACGGACGATAGTCTACATACCCCACCCCCTGACGGAGTCTAACACAATGTCTAAACAATTAAAACACGTTATGACAACAACCTTGAAGAAGCAGAGGCCTAACTTGTTTATAGCCACTTTGCCTTTAACATAGCAGCAAACACCCAATAAACTGAAAAGCGTCCTGCGTTGAACAACACAAACCCAAACAGCGGGTTATCTGGCTCATAGCATTTAATTAACTGAAATCTACCCAGCTACTCTGGACGTGGTAGCTAAGTTTCACACAGAACGCTGAAGCCGATAAACTGACTCTCAGAAGGTCGCATAGGCTATTTTTGCTCGAAATTTGTTGTTGGGTTAATCAGATGTTACGCCAGTAGCGCGAAACGTCGCCACAACCACCACATTAAAGTTACCAGAAATCCTATGCCATTAGCAGACCAGCCCCGCGGGCAGAAAGTTCAACTCATGCGTTCGAACAGAGTAAGGCAGGTCGTAGAATCACAAACGGTTTTTTTATGTCCTTTAACCCATCAGTCGCCGGGCTGCGCGCCGCTACCGCTACTTTAGCGCATGCATACAGTACTAGACCGCTAATGTCGCATAGCCCCAATAGACTTCAGCGACGAATATCGACACAATCCTTGGGATGAGCAGGCGTGCTAGCACTT